GGGGGGGGCACTCATGGTTTTCTCATTTCCGCCCCGTAAGGGTGGGGGGCGGACGATGTAGGGCGGTGTGGGGGTGAGGTCCGGGAATTTGGTGATAATTGCGGTTTTTCCCTCCCCCCTCGCACTTCACTCTTTCTCTCCTTCGCTCGCTCTTTTGCCCATCTCGTCTCGTATAATGCGTTTAACCAAGGGGTGTGGGGAAGAGGGGTGCGCCTGGAATGAACGGATGGTGGTTGGTTGGCGGGGGAGAGGCAGAGGGGAGAGAGAGAGAGTGACAGGGCGGACAGTCCTACTGCGGGGCGGCCGAGGCCAGGGCAAGCCACCGACGGGACGAGATGACGAGATGAGCTGCCGGTTATCGCTTCTGTGTAGTGATGGGCTATCAGCATCAGCAGTAGGGCTTTGGTGGCGCTACTGCCACCACCGCCGCCCCCCCCCCTCTCTCTCTCTCTCTCTCTCTCTCTCTCTCTCTCTCTCTCTCTCTCTCTCTGCGCACGCACACGCACACACATGCTGGAAGGGACAGACAGACGGGTGGGATGAAGGCTAAAGACCTAAAGACCCCCCCCCCTTCCCCTCTCCCTTTACCCCACTTCATATTCCCCACTCCCACTCTCCCGAAATCCCTCCCGTCCGGAAAGAAGAAGTGACCCAACGTAACGCAGGCGTATAAATGCGAGTCCTTCTCCCCCCCCCCTCCTCCCGCAGATCCCATTCCCTTTCGCGGCCGGCCCGGCCGAGGGAGGAGAGGGGGGGATACACTCATGGTTCCATGGTAAGGAAAGCGCGCTCCCCCGTGCTCCACTCGGGACTGTCTATTCCGTCCGCTGTTGTTGTTCAATCTCCGGGACGGGTGCAGCGGAACGCTCTGCATCCACACGAAAGCACCGCGCTTTCGACAGTTTTGCAACACCGGTATTGTAGTACAAAGTACCTCCTGCCACTCTCCCCTCCCCTCCGCCCGCTCTTTCGCCCCCACCTCCGACCCACCTCACTGCCACGCTCACCCGACTAACCCGAACCTTCGCTCTTTTCCTCCTGCTGCAGTCGTGCTGGGCTGCCTGTTCCTCGCGATGCCCCCGGCGCTCGGCGAGCCCGTGGCCCCACTTGTCTCCTGGTCGGAGCCACAGGCGGACACCAGCGGCAGCAGACGACAAGGAGCTGCTGACGACGCAGCGGCGGCGGCCGCCGTCCCGAGCCGGGCGAGGAGGTCCGCGACGGCAGCTCCATGCCAGCCCAGCAGCACGGCCGTGGACACCGCGGAGCGCCTCGCCAAGCTCAGGGCGCTCATGAGGCAGAGCGGCGTCGCGGCCTACATCATCCCGTCGGACGACGAGCATGGGGTAGGTCCGCCAGCCATACCCCCGCCGACGACTCACCCCCGAGCGTGTGGAGATGGGGTAGCGCCTCGGTATAGCGCCTAGGTCACATCATACAGAAAGTGTACGCGTCATCCGTGTTTTCTCAGAGTCATTCTTTAGCAAATTACGCGGGGCTCGGCGCCTGCGAGGCTCGGGGTAGGCCACCCCGCAATACACGCATGCACTGCAGGCAAGGTCTTTGCCTACCTATCAGGCGCCATGAGAGTTCGCAGGCGCTGAACTTGGCAGGTTCATATTACGGTGAATTACGAGTGTTATTTCTGAATACTGTTTTGTCAAAGTAGATGTTGCAGACTATTATCGTACTGTTTCATCACTTGGAAAGCATTTGCAAACCTTGTCGTGGCGCAGTTAAGTAATTAGCTGGCAGGTGAGAACTGTCGAAGTAGACTTTCTTCGGGAAGCATGCGAGTATTCCCCTTTATCAAAAAGGGGAGCACGTGGCCCCAACGTTTCCTCATGAAAGCCGATTGGCAGCCACTGACGAACAGGGAAAAACGGTCCGTGCTTATCTTTCGCATAATTCCGGTTAGACACAACAAGAATCGGCACGTTTTCGCGCTACGGACACTTTGAAACCTTTGCATCCTTTCAAAATGTTGTCATTTTCACAAAATGTCTGGTTTTGCACTTGTTCGTGGTCTAATGCCCGACAATGACACGCAGAGCGAGTACACGGCCAACGCGGACCACCGTCGGGAGTGGATCACGGGCTTCACGGGCAGCGCCGGTGACGCGGTGGTCACCATGACGGACGCTCTGCTCTGGACCGACTCGCGCTACTGGGTGCAAGCCAACAGGCAGCTCGACTGCAACAGCTGGACCCTGATGAAAAAGGGCGAGCCGGACGTAAGTAGCTATTTATATATTTCGTGTATATGATCCGGGCCCCCTGTCAAGTTTCTGGTTTACACCAAACTACCATGCTCTAATCTACTGCGTTTTTTCAAAGGTACTGAGCATCGAGAAGTGGCTGGGGAAGAACCTGGATAGGAGCGCACTAGTGGGCGCCGACTCGCGCATGCTGTCCTACAACCAGTGGAGCACCTGGGACAACTACCTGGGTAGGTCAACAGCCGCGGCTCCGTCTGCTGGTAGATGATGATAATCATCTTGTTGAACATTTGCGTATATGCCGCAGCCGGTCTGGGTGGTCCCCGCATGCTGCCCATCGAGAAGAACCTCGTCGACGAGGTGTGGGGCGCCGACAGGCCCGCGTACCCGGACACTCCCATCACCCCTCTGGACGTGAAGTACACAGGTAATGAAGGCAATGAAAGGGTGTATCGGGTGGGTGAGAGGGAGTAGCGCCTGACGCGCACAGGGTTGTAACCTTTCACGTCCACAGGCGTCGCGTGGCAGAGCAAAGTGGAGAAGGTGCGAGACTCGATGCGCGCGTCCGGCAACGACCTCCTGGTCCTGTCCGCCCTGGACGACTGCGCCTGGCTGCTCAACCTGCGCAGCGGCGAGGTGCCGTACACGCCCGTGTTCCGCTGCTACGTCGTGCTCGGACTCGACGCCATGCACGTCTTCATCCCCGCCGAGAAGATCAGCCCCGAGGTGCGCAGCCACCTGAGCGACACCGGCATCAACCCGCAGTGAGTCAGAGTCGATGGGCGCGAGACGCCGAGGACAGCACGCAGCTGCGTCTGTTTCACCACTCAGCACATCGATGTGTATACCGTGTGTGTGTCGCGCAGGATCCACGCCCACGAGGAGGTGTGGACGCTGCTGCCCCAGCTGAGCGCCGCCGCCAACAGTGTGGCCCTCACCACCCCCGTCGTGTACCACACCGGCTCCAGCTACAAGCTCTACAAGGCGGTGAGCGGGGACGCACGGTCGGGCAGGGAGTGCGGGGCTGACGGGGCTGACGGGGCTGACGGGGCTGACGATGCCGAGTCCGATTACGAGGAGTGCGGGGAGGAGTCTGAGACGCAGCCGTCGGAGACTGAGGAGGAAATTGATCCAGAAACGGAAACTGAGCTAGAAACGGAGAAATTGCATTTAGAAACGGAGAGTAACGCCGAGACTGAGATTATATCGGAATCGGAAAATGGCACGGAGACGGAATCGTACCAGACTGAAACGGGGACGGGAATGTATTCGTTTTCGTATTCTACATCGCACCAGGAAACCTACTCGCAGAATGAAACTCAAAGTTGGCTAGAAAGCGGGCCCTGAACACCACCAAAGCCAGTCCACTCAGACGCCCGTGTACCGGCGCATAGGCAACCCACTCGGCACGTCAGTGGTGCGACCTGCCTACTCAAGGTCAGCCAGCCGTTTTGTCTGGCGACGTCAATCATTAGCTCTGTAGATGCAAACCCCACGAGTGACAGTATCTCAATAAAATGGACTCCTTAGTGTCCTATGTCAGAGTTGGTTGATTTGCCCTCCTTCAGACGTACTTTACTCATTCCACCGCGAGTAAGAGAGAAACCCCCGCGCCCCAATGCAGTCTGAGACCGTGGTGAGTGAGGCGGACAGCGAGAGCGCGATCCCTGCAACCGCGACCAATATGCTCTTCTGCTCTCGCCCAACAGGTCCAGCCGGGGAAGGTCAAGTTCATCGCGTCGCCAGTCCTCTACATGAAGGCCACAAAGAACTCGGTCGAGGCCATGGGCATGAGGCGGGCGCACGTCAAGGATGCCGTCGCGCTCATCGAGATGCTCGCCATCCTGTCGGAGGAGGTGAGTGGGTCAGGTCGGGGCGATCACAGATTGTCACTCATCCCGCCCCTTACTTGTCGTAGGGGGAAAGTCCCCTCACTGTCCAGCTATGCCCGCAGCAAGTCCGACAATCCACATACATCTGACCTGCAGGTGCCGGCCGGCAAGTACTGGGACGAGCAGATGGTGGTGGAGGCGCTGGCCAAGCTGCGGTGGAAGCAGGAGAACTCGCACGGCCCCAGCTTCGACACGATCGCCGCCTTCGGCAAGAACGCAGCGCTGCCGCACTACGAGCCCAGCAACGCCACCAACGTGCCCATCACGACCGACAACCTGCTCATGATCGATTCTGGCGGCCAGTACTCCGGTAGTGATCAAGCACCCTGTCTGTTTTGTTGTTGTTGTTGCTGCTGTTTAATTTTCCCTGCTCACTTGCCCTTCGCTTCGCTGCGTAGAGGGTACGACGGACGTCACACGCACCGTGCACTTCGGCACGCCGACGCCCGTGCAAGTGGAAGTCTACACCAAGCTGCTCAAAGGCTGCATCGACCTGGCTTCCGTCAAGTTCCCCAAGGGCTACACCATGCAGAACCTCGAGATCGTCCTGCGCGCGCCCCTCTTCTCCCTGGGCCTGCAGTACGGTCACGGATCCACCCACGGCATCGGCCATTTCCTCGCCGTGCATGAATGTGAGTGTACTTCCCCCCACGACCCCGCCCCAAGGCAGTCTGAATATGACAACTGATACCGCTTCCCAATTTTCTTTCTTGTTTCAGCATTTGATTACGCTTATGACGTCAACTTCTTTGGATCACAAGGTATTAATATAACCAGTAAATTAGTACACAGAAGATGCTTAAAAGATCGAAGTAGTCATTATAGGTAAAGTGCCCATTTTCATAACTAATTAGTTAACTTGTGATTCTTTGCAACAGAGCCTGGTTACTATAGAGAAGATGACTTTGGTATGAGGCTGGAGAACATTGTGCAAGTAGTTCCAGCTGATGTTAAGGTGAGTTTTCAATTAATTTAAACTCTCAAAATTTAAAAAATTCATATGCTTTCAACGAGTAATATGTCATTCTTTTAAAATCCGTTTACAGTTTAAAAGTACAACATCTTTCCTCACGTTTGAAACAACCACTTTAGTGCCATATGATAAGAAGCTAATAAATACTAGTTTACTTTCTCCTGACGAGGTTTGTGACACTTTCAAAAATGTCGTTGTGACCTGCCGACTAAACTTTGCTTAAATTTTCTACTTCTTTTTTTCAGATTAAATGGCTGAACATTTACAATCAGCATATTAGGATAGCTGTTGGTCCAGAGTTAATACGCCAAAATAAAACTAAAGCTTACAAATGGCTTATGGAACACACACAGTTAATTTCCTAGCGTTAACTGTATGTGATAGAACTTAAGCTTTATCTCTAAGGCATTCCAAGTAACACAAAAACGTCACAAATAAGTTGTTATTAAGTTTTAGTTACTATTCTGACATCACAATATGATGTCTTTGCGGCAGTTTTTTTGTTACTTGGGTATAATTTATTTCTCTTCCTTCTCAATAAAAATAAATAATTACAACTCTAGTTGTATAGAGCCAAATTTATTTATTCCAGTATTCATACCATACATGCCTCATAAATGCTGTGCTGATCAAATGCACACTTAGGACTAAATAAAGAATAAACTCAACAATCCCTCGATAGGAAAGAAAAATAAGTTTGAGGAAAAGAAAACATACGTTGTACTTGCATAGACTAAACAAAACCTGAGCTGGGAAAAATTTCAGCAAAGAGGTGGCTTGATAAAAATACTAATATTATAAACATTTTGCAGTCATGATTTCAAAGTAAAGTTAGGAATGAAAATTGTTATGTACTAGAAACCAGCTCTCATGGGTGGAGATACTAAAATAACTCCATCACCTCTTACAAAGAGCATAGCAATGTTGCGCTTGGTAGTCTTATATACCTCCTCATAGGTTTCCTCGTCAATTTCAACTGTTGTCACAGTTTCCTCTGCATCCCCCAACACCATGTTCAAATGTTGGTCGTACGCCTGCAAGATAAGCAAAATTAATAGAGATACGTCATATGTTACTACACTAAGCGTATCAGTGAAGAGGAGATGCTAGTGCTTCGTAATACTCACATGGAGTCTTCCTCGCAGCTCCCTCTCGTTCCTCATTTTCACATATATTCTTTCATCTAAGCTGAGCCTGATGAGATCGAGGGGCTCCTTAACGGTGATAGAAGGCACCTACAAGAAAATTTATTTCATGTTATCATGTTTAATTTATCACAGAAAAGATGAAAGAATATAACCTCATAATTGTAGACCGGTGAATAAATATACTCGACAAATCATGTGTCGCAAATTTCTTACCTGCTCTCCATCATCAGCCATGATCAAATTCTAAGAATACACAAAGATCTGACGCAAAACTCGAATAAAAGCCTTTACATTCGAAACAAACACACCAGAATCACCAGAAAAGGATTTTTTTCAAAAACAACTCAAACTTTTGCCTGAAACAGTTCTACCATCTGAAAAAAAATAAAGGTAGGGAAAAATATTAAATCACAGCTTCACAGATATTTCAATTGTGTATAAATTTACGTCTTGATGTTAAATTATGAATGTTTCAGTAGTTTTAAAACCTATAAATTTCCAGTTGCATGTTTTTTTTTTGTTGCTTTTTTTTTTTCAGAAGTATGCTACTTGTCGTCAAAAGTGTCAAAAGGCCACTGCCACCGCGCCATAGTTTGACTGCAGCAATGGCGGACGAAAGTGAAACGAAACAAAATTGTACTTTTACGTTTAAAAAGCGTAGAAACCAAGCAGTTCGCAGAAAGAAAGAGAGTGACGAAAGTGAAGGTACTATTTATTTTATTTTTGACAATGTTATCACTTGGCTTTTACGAACAGACTCGTTAACAACTGATTGGTCATTGCTAGAGGTTATGATGTTGTTTTTTTAACTGATGTAAACATTTTCCATTGCTGTGTATTTTAAAACCGACATTTTCTCTTCTTGAATCAGGTAGCAATAACGATGAAGAAAAACCTACAGTTGTAAGGAAGGAGAAGAAAGTCAAAACCAATTTGATGGTTCAATCTGTAAGAAACACTCTTCTTACGAGATCAGTGTTATATCTTACATGTTTTAAGTATTGTTGTTATTTTCTTTACCTTGCAGACAGCAAAAGCTCGCAAAAAAAAGAAAGAAGCAGATGACAGCGATGAAAGTGATGATTCCTCTGAGCATGAAGATGTCATGGTGTCATATAGGTCTAAGCGACTCACCGGACCAGAAGGTCCAAGTGACATGGGAGCCACTGCAACTATTGAAATAGAAACTGAGAAAGATCGTGATGCCCAAGCACAGTTTGAACGAGCACTAGCAATTAACAAAGTAAGTCCTAAAAACTTCTACATCATTGACTTGCACAGCTTTTCATCAAACTTTTCCAACTTGTATTTAA